TTAATTGGAGTAATTTTCGGGTTAGGGCTCAAATTTTGGAGTTGGGTGAAATTCGAGTGGCGAAGTTCGGTTTTTGACTCGTTGAGCTGCGTATATATATAGAATTGGTAGTTTATGGGGTGATGGAGCCGTGGGATTTTACTGAACTCGATTCGCACTTACGGTTTGCCTGAAACGAAATTTTTGAAGTTGAGCGCATGTGGTGAACAGTGCGCGACCAGCTGCTTTCATGCCAATTTTTGTCGCCTTCTGGCATGAGTTTGGGTCGGCCAAATTAGGGTTCTTGTAGTCCTTTGATTGGGTTTCATTTTGACTATAAGCTCGCTTGGAACGGAGTTTGGTGCAAAAGTTACGGCCCAACCAAGTTTCGCGCTCAAGCTCCAAGTTGCGGAAGGTTTTGGATAATCGCTTCGCACAAGCGATTTGTGGGCACCTTTCAGTTGTCTTATTAGCGTTTAAGCGTCGTTCAGCCATTTCGTAGTTACCGTAGTATTTTACTTAGTTTTGACGTCGATTCTCGTTTAATTGTTAAGATTACGAGATTATCGGTTCGAGTGAACATTGTTGTTTAGTTTTGGGGTATTTTCAGGTGAGTGGTGCTATCTTTTCTATAAATTTATAAACTCATGTCTTAAAAATGATAAAGATTTGAGTATCGTATGAGTTAATAAGTATGTTTCGTGCATAAAAATTAGGATCGAGCAATTACTACCATTTTGCATTTGAAAATGATTTGAGAACTGAATTATGAAAGGTGTTGAGAAAGTTATATATATATATATATATATATATATATATATATATATATGAATTGTTTTACGAACTGGTTTATGAAGGGTTATGAAAGAGTTTGAGAAATGTCATGTGAAATGTATTTTACCACCCGTCTGGGTGGCGCTGCTGGAGCGCGCACTCTTCCTCTCGCAAAAGGTTGAGTGTTCGAATCTCGGGCGCCGCAGGGTGACTTAACTGGTGGCACGTGTGTGGTGGCTAGCACGTGTCGCCCCCAGGGTTTACTCCCCGGCTGTCGGCCGTGCGGGGGTTCCCTGGGTTATCAAAAAAAACAAAAATGTATTTTGAAGATTAAATGCTTTGGTTTGTAAAATCAAAATATGATATTTTTTCTGGATTAGCTTTGTGAATTGTGAAGAATATTGTTGTGAGTTTGTGTTGGTGCTCAATATCGTTGTGAGCCTAATAAGGGGTTTGTGGGTATGCGCATACTAGTTTAGGATATCTTTGTGGGCCGGGCCACAGGCTTATAGTAGGTGGAGACCTTGCCAACGGGGGAATCTTGGTCGCCTTATCACGGGGAGAAATGCATGATCATGATTTGATAGTGAGCAATAGATTGATCGATGGATAGACCATCGATGTGTTTTTTGCTGTGCCATGGCAAATCCTTTAAAGCGATGGCAGTGCGGCTGCTGCTCAAAAAGGATAATATCGGGTCGGGTTGAGAGATGCCAGTACGGCTACGCCTCTACCCCGAGCGAGGTCTTTTATGATGACATTCATCAATGGAATAGACCATTGACGTGTGATTTGAGATTGACCAATGGAATGGACCATTGGTTTCTACTTTGATGTTGTTGATTTAAATGAGTATTTTCTGATTCGTATAAAGTTATGTTGAAATGAAACAACCTTTATGTGACTAGATATGTATTTGATATCTTGAGTTTGGCTTCTGAAATTCTTGTATGGATTTATGTGTTCATGTATAGTGATTGCTCCATCTGCTTAAAAGAGATGCACTGTTTACTGAGCTGTGGTTGCTCACCCCTTTCTTTTCTCAATCTTTTCAGGTTCTTTGGTTGGTTGCCAATAGAGCGAGAACGATGTTGTGGGGATTTTTGGATGGTTTGAGGCTGTGTCTTTCGGGTGGAAGGATGGCCGTGTCATCCTCCATCCTGGTAAGTTCCGGGGGGTGACATATTCAACATGAGATTGACTTTCTTCTAGGAGCGAGCCTCTTAATTTGCTGCACTACCGGATGAACCCGAAGGAGAACCAGATTTACAAGACTAAGTGGGAGAACTCCTTCGAAAAGGCTTCTTGCATGAGAACTTGAGCCCTTGTGCAGTTCCCGCACTCCTCACACCGAAGAAAAACGAGAGCATATGTTTGTGCATTGATAGCCGCGCAATTAATCGGATTACTGTCAAATACCGATTTCCAATCCCTCGCCTGGATGACATGCTCGACCGGCTTGTTGGATCGAAGGTCTTTACAAATATTGACTTACGTAGTGGATACCACCAAGTCCACATCCGCCCCGGCGACGAATGAAAAACTGCCTTTAAAACAAGTAAAGGGTTGTACGAATGGTTTGTCATGCCGTTTGGCCTCACCAATGCACCCAGCACCTTCATGCGTTTGATGACTCAGGTCCTCAAACCTTTCATTGGCAAGTTCGTGGTGGTATATTTTGATGACATCCTCATATACAGTCCAGATGATCGACAACACATGGAGCATCTAAAGATGTCTTGTTGGCCTTGCAGAAGAGCCAATTGTACATTAATATGAAGAAATGTAGTTTCACGACTGACAAACTCCTTTTCTTGGGGTATATTGTTGGAGCAGAAGGCCTCCAAGTTGATGCACAAAAGGTAGCTGCTATTCGCGATTGGCCAGCTCCCCAAACCATTGGGGAGGCGTGTGGCTTCCACAGGCTCACGACATTCTACCAACGCTTTCTCCGAAATTTCAGTAGCGTCGATCACTGAATGCTTAATTTCATTGAGGTGATGAAGCAGAAGCAGCTTTGCTCTCATTAAAGAGAAACTTTCCACGGTACGAGTACTGATGCGCCCAGACTTTGAAAAGGTATTTGAATTGGACTATGATGCCTCTGGAGTAGGCATAGCCGTTGTTCTCTCCTAGGAAGGTAAACCTATTGCTTATTTTCGCGAGACATTTAATTATGTCCGTAGGCGATAGTCTACCTATGAACAAGAGTACTTTGCTGTAATACGAGCCATCAAACATTGGCAACCCTATGTTTATCAACATAAGTTTGTCCATAACACTGACCATCAAGCACTCAAGTATATCAAGAGTCAAAAGCATATGAATCGAATGCATGCACGTTGGGTTTCCTTTGTGGAACAATTCAACTTCGTGCTTCGACACAAGGCGGCCCACTTGAACAAAGTCGCTGATGCACTTAGACGTCATATTGTAACACTCGTCACCATGCGCACCGACGTTGTGGGATTTGATCACCTTTGTGCCCTTTATGCCGGGGATGAGGACTTTCAAGACATTTGGGATAAGTGTTCTACGACAGGCTCTCATGGCGATATGATCATTCAAGATAAATTCTTGTTTTTTGGCAATAGGTTGTGCATCCCTCGCAGCTCTTTACGAGAACAACTCATTCGAGAGCTCCATGGTAGCACCCTTGGAGGACATTTGGGTCGAGACAAAACTGTTGCCTTGGTTGAAGAGCGGTACTATTGGCCTCAACTGAAGCGAGGTGTTGGCGATTTGTGAAAAAGTGCTACATCTATCAGAATGCCAAAAGCCACTCGTAAAACACTAGTCTTTACACCCATTTACCTATTCCTTAAGGACCTTGGGTAGACATTTCAATGGATTTTGTGTTGGGCCTTTCCCAAACCTAGCGAGGTATGGATTTTGTTTTTGTGTTGGTGGATAGGTTCACAAAGATGGTACACTTTATTCCTTGCAAAAAAACTTGCGATGCTTCCCATGTGGCAAGCCTATGCTTTCGGGAAGTAGTCCGCCTGCATGGTGTGCCCAAAACAATCACATCATACCGTGACACCAAGTTCCTCAGTCATTTTTGGCCTGTGGCACTTATTTGGGACGGATTTACAGTATAGTATCTCTTTCCATCCCCAAACTGACGGTCAAACTGAAGTCGTCAACCGTACTACGGCGGATATCATTCATTGCCTTTGTAGTGACATGCCAAAGCAATGGACTGATTGCTGCTGGCACAACTTTTCGGGCGAGGGACTGATTGCTGCTGGCACAGCTTCTATCATGGAAGCAATCGGGAAGAAAGATCTATGCAAATATCTGAGGTCTCTTTTCCAAGTGGCATAGCCAATTATGTCACTAGCTGATATTCATATACTGTTGTGAACGAGTAGCAGATCAATTCCATCAAGAAGATTAATTTTGCCAAATCTAAGAAGATTTAGATTTGATTTCCCTTGTGTTCTGCGTCAAATTGACTGAACATGGTTTTGTTTTCTTGCTGCAGGCTTGCACCAGAGTCTATTCAAAATCTTGAAGATCTTGTTAGAAGATTCTTTGGGTGTCTTCCTTGGGCCACAGTGCTCTGTATAAGTGCTGTTGATGGTTCTGATGCCAAGTTGTTGCAAGAGCTATTGCTGTATCCTTCTTATATCCATACATGGATGATTTTATCGCGCTTGAAGCACGGCTTGCAACCTATAGTTGTACTTATGCCCTTGGATCCAATTTTGGAAGGTACTTCCAGTTTGCTCCATGAATATCAGTTGTTGTAATCTTGCAGTACTTTTGATGCAGTCTAACATGGGAGTTAATTTGACTTAAACCTTTTCAAAATTCCTCAGATGATTTTGATGTAGTTTCAAATTCAGAAGACGAATCTAGCAACAAGAAATCGCTGGATAAACATTGGCATTGTCCCTGGGGTTCCAGCGTGGTCCACGATGTAGTTCCAGCATTTAAGGAGACACTGGAGGAAAATTACTTGTCATGTTCTCTCCATGCTTTGGAAGATACAAAGGTAAATAGGCTGTTATGGTGGACTAAGAGAAAGAATCTTGATCTCCGCCCGGGTAAATTGCTGGGGTGAGTTCTTCCAAGCCTGCTCGGCCAGTAGGCAGGCATGGTCATTACAGTTATGATGATACTTCTCATTTTTTTACGTTCTTTATTTTTGCAGTGTTGCTGTTGCGGCATTCTGTCCATAAGCTTGAAATTAGACTAATGCTATTTGCTTATGTTTTGTCGACACAAACTAGGAAATTAGAAAAATCATGGTTGGCACCTTGGAGATGCCTGCTTCTTGCAGGATTGTTGAATTGCACACGAATGGAGACTGTGTTAAATAAACTGGTTCATGACCTGAAACATAAGTGCAAAATCAAAATTGACGCAGGTTTGCTTTAGGTTATACTTGGAGGGGTAAAATTGGACAGTAAAAGGGAAGCTTTAATACCACTATTACGGTCAGACAGAACTTGCTATGTTGGTAGCATAAATCAATATGTCGAAGAAAGGGGCAGGATTCCATCGTTTGCATGTAAAGGATATGGTGAATTGTCTGAGCTGGCGTGTCAATTGATTCATGAAGCAATAAAGGAGCTTGAAGAGGAAGATCATATGTATAGAGAGCCAATTATTTTAGTGTCGGATAGCGAGGTGCAGGTTTGTCTGCCACTCCCTTAACTTTTCATCTAATATTAGACTTAGTTCTCTAACTTTTCCTGCCTAAAGGGTGACTTATTTGATTGAATTCTTGCAGTATCTGATTTTAAAACCAATTTTGGTAGTTATTTCTTTAGGTGGCAGAGTTTTTGGGCTAGGGGCCATATTAAAATGTATATTCCTCCAAGTAATTTCTTTTTTTTGTTACACTTTCTTTTATGCTATCGAAAGGCAAAAAGTTGAATTTCTAGTGTCATGTGGTTCTCAATTCTCAACCATAAGTGCACATAATGCTATCAACATAAAATTGAGGTTTGGCCTTATGTTGGTATTTCCCCCTTTTTATGTGGGAAAGTTTGTCTTAGTTGTGCCGCAAACCAACAAGGTGCCGTCTATTATCTGCACCGTTATATTCCACTAGAAAATGTCTTTAGAAATGTTGTCATAGGCCATATGGAGTATTTAGATCTTTCATAAGATTTGACAGGAAATCGAGCGCAATGACATAAAAGGATTCATAGAGCTCACCCCTCCTAGTGAGGTAATGCTTATTTTGTTGTCGTAATTTTCTTGATTGGGGTTGTTTCACTAGTTATGGGGCATGTTGTAGTTTTTCCTTTATTGTCTTGCTTAGCAATCTTCATTCGATTCCACATACAATTTTCTGCAGATGCTCCCATGGGAGAACTTGCCGGCTCTAAGAAACCAGGAGGTTTATCGTATGCCTTCTGTAGGCAGCATTTTCCTGACACTGGATAGGAGCTCTCAGCGTGAGGAGCAGCAAGTTGGACCTCCTATTGCTTCTTTTCCTTTTATAGATCCGTTAGATGCATATTATCTGTTGAATCCCAGTGGCGATCTCAGCAACACGCAAGTTGAATTTGAGAACTGGTTTAGAGATCAAAAGCTGAAGGTACTCTTTGTAGTCTATAATAAATGAACAGAGAATGAACGAAAATGCACCAGAGAGAACCTCCAACTTGAAATAGATTGCATCTTTCGGTTGACACTAGAGAATATGACGGTCATAACGTTAAATTGTTAGTGTTTATTTAGACGAAATCTAATGTGATTCACCAAACAGGGTAATGCCGGTTTTGCACCTGTGCCGAAAGAATTGGCCCTTGCCTTGACAAGCCATGACCTCTTTATATATTTTGGCCATGGGAGTGGTAAATTTCCTTATTTTGCTCTGAATTTCGACCTACTCTTGGAACTGATATATAATTCTACTACATATTCAACATGACATTGAAATGTTACATCGGGATTTTCTGACACAAGATCGCAATATATTCCACGTCATGAGATTCAGAAGCTAGACACTTGTGCTGCTACTCTTCTAATGGGGTGTAGTAGCAGTTCTCTGCTTCGTAATGGGCATATGTTCCGGAAGGTACATCAGTGTCCTACCTCTTAGCCGGTTCTCCTGTCATTGTTGCCAACTTATGGGAAGTGACCGACAAGGACATCGACCGGTTTGGGAAGGCCATGCTGGATGCATGGATACTTGTCACCATAAACCGATGATTGGATCATTCATGGGTCAGGCTCATGAAACTTGCACTCTGTCATTCTTAATCGGGGCATCGCCGGTATATTATGGTGTTCCCACAGGAATAAAGAGAAAAATGGATTTATAGCATTGTGGTTATTGTTACTCTGTCCTTGAATTTTCATTTCCTGACGAAAATTCTAGGCCTAGATAACCCTTTGCAGCTATACAATATAAGTATTCTGTATGTAAATATGATATGCGTATTGTTATATTTGATACGGATATGTGTTACAAATACGATGAAATACGCCTTTTACACCCGTCCATGATTAGTATATGGAGATCTCACAGTTCTCTTCTGGCTTGCCTGTTGAGCTCCGGAGACGAAGGTGCAACTTAGCCTTCTTTCTATTCTGTTTTACTCTTAACTTTGGGCTGTTGGTGTAATCAACCTGATCTGCAACGGTGAATTCAAAGCGTTGTGTCTTGTCATCAGTGTTTGTATGACCATGGTTCTCGAGCTGCCTTCGAGCATATGAACGGATTTGATTTTGTCGGGCTGAGTAATTCAAGGAGCATATGACAGGACCCTCGTGCTCAAATTCAAGGAGCTCGAGGAACTTGCCAACGAATGCAACAAGGCTGTCCGGAAGTAAGTTCTAATTCTTGCAGTTGCTGCAGTCTTGTTAATTTGTTCTTCTTTGTTGGTCTTGAAAGTTTCTATGTTATGTGCTTTTGGTATTTGGATGCCATCTTGGAAATGGTCTAATACTCGTAAGGTTGAAGCTGGGTATGTTTGCTATTTTGGGCTGTATACTTTACACTGGTTGAAATCTCATGGGATTCTTCAACATCAACAGACCTACATTCTCATGTGTTGGTGTGTTTGGATTTCTTCAGTGCTAGTTCTTGTGCCTATACTGACTCGGCACGTGATTGAGTTTAATTATTTTGATCTCATCAAGAAGTGATGCCGTAGTTTTTTTTATCTTTTCGTGCTAAATTGTTCTGAGGTTAATAACCATGAATAATGTGTCGAGTTATTCTATGTGCCATGTTTGAGGTTGTACAGCTTCCATTACGATGTTATCATCCCGTCGAGTGATTTCTTTCTTTTGGAGTGATTTTCTGTAGTCCTTCTCCTTCAACTACTCTTTTGTTTTGTGATTTTGGGTTAAAGCTTGGTTCAGATTACCAGTACGTGTTGAATGCAAAAGGGTCTACACCTGCGGAGGTGATGGGCATTGACTACAAGTCAACCCTAAAGCCGGCACTCGACATGCATGCCGATGACATCAACAAAAGCTCGGTGGAGAAACTTGAAGAGTTAATCATCTTTCAGCAACAGTCCAAAGAAACTGCTGCTAGAATTGAGGAGAAGAGAAACCGTGTCTTGCAACTTCATTCACGTGTTGAGGAAGTAAGTACTTGGATTAATTACCAACCCACGAAGTGTTCAAACTGTGCTTATCTCTTAGACCTGAAAGTTAGTTTTTGACTTCTTGATGAAAACTATGATACCAGATGAAATTAAAAATTTGTTGGTGAAACTGGAAAGAGAAACTGGCGATAACATCCAACTTAGTGTGGGGCGTATTGACTGGATCACAAGAGGTTGGTAATGTAGACTTTTGGCCGAGGGATTGAGTAGCAATAGCTTGTTCTGGGTAGTCAACGGAAGTTGAGAAAATTATTGTTGATTTTAGTATTGAAGAGTTATGATTCGGTGCTTGACATACTTTCAGATCAAAGCAGTCATAGAACTCACCATTACCTACACGAAGTAGGATTCTGTTGATGTTTGACATTATTTTTCTTTCTGTTAATGCTCAACATAATATGTGGAGCTGTTGAAGCATATGGTGTGGGTGTCCTTTGAGAACAAAACTAGCTAAAAAAAGTCGTGACTGGTGTCAGGAAACATATTGTAGGTTAACGCTTGCTGTACATAAAGAAGTGCTTAATCCCGTAACATCTGAAGGAAAATAGCGTCATATTACATCATGATAGTTAGCATAACGCAAGAATTTTTGGTCTACTTGCCTGTTCTTTCCCTGTCTTGGCAAAAGCTCTAATGCTAGAATTTGCGCAGCTTGAAGATCAAATGAATCTACTGAAGCAAGAAATGCAAGACTACATTCATAGATGTGCACTGGAGGTGCAAAGGATGGTGGAGGATGTTGAAGTAGAAGCTCATAACTTGAACATCGTGGAAAGAGAAGCTGCAGAGGTCTTGAAGGTATGGTATGGTTGAATCACTGAATTCTGGCACCGAAATATATGGCTGGAAATCTTTTGTCCTGAAAGTTAACAGAATTTAAGTCATACCACACAATCAGTGGCATTCCTCACTTCGGAACGTGATCGATTGATCTTCGGTAGAAGATTGTTCTTGCAGAGCAGGCATGTATAGTTTCATGCGGCGTGATTTGTTGTTACTACTTGTTTTTGTAGACATCTAAAATAAAGCAGCAGGAAGCCATCAAAGAAAGCGAAGAAGAAATCCAGAAGCGCGCTTTTGAGCTCTTTTCATTGGTTGATATGGTCTCAAAGCACGAAGAGTATATGGAATGCAAAATCTCCGAGATAAAGACCAATCTCTCGGAGACCGCTAATACTATCTCGGCAGACTACAGAGCCTCCTTGCCTGCACAAATGAGCTCAGTGATTTGAAGCATGTGAATCGTCAAAAATAGTAAGCTATACAATACCATCGTAAATCCTCGTTCTCTCGGTGTGTTTTGTTTTCTGATCAGGCAACTGCCATTCTATTGCTTGCTTCTCACCTAACTGGTGTCTCTGCGACTTGGGTACACAATTGCCTCATTATGCACATGCCTTACTGTACTTAAACAAGCGGAAGTGTCTTCTAGTCTTGTGAAAATGAATATGTCAATCCGGTCAAACTTTGTGGGGTTGTTTTTATTGCAATATTTGAGGTATCACAATGAAATACTTGGGCCAACGATTCCCTAAGGTTTGGGTGAGTCGGACGTAATCACGAAAGGGTGTTTCTTCGAATCGAGATGTTCACAACCGACTCGGCGGACACACCTTGTGTACAATAGAAAAGCTCCAGCAGCATATATTGTACTCTTGACAGATACTTTTAGACATGAATTGAGAAGAGTGCACGTTTGATTAACCCTCAAGGTGGGGAGATTCCCATCAAATTGAAGAAAATGAAGAGTGGATCTCAAATGCCAAGAGAAAAAGGTAGCCTCAGAAGTCAGAAACCCGATTGCCAACTTAAGTATAAATTTTGTGATGTCAACGTGAAGATTTGATCATTTACAAGCATAAATAGGATGAAAATGAATCGCCACTCTAAACTCCAATCGATATTTATGCAGTAGAAAATTTGGCCATCGGAAATAAACATTGAGAAAGGAAGGGAAAGGAAAGGAAAGGAAATGCTTGCCCAGATAGTGCCCTCATAACCCATTTATACACTCAGCCAAACACTACACACTCCCCATCAAGAGACATTTACAAAACAGGAAGATCTAAAATGGACAAAAATGAAACAAGGATAAAGAAGAACAAGAGGGGAGAAAAAAGTCTGGAAGGACTCTTGGGAAGCACGGCTATGTTTCCAAGAACCATCCCCCCTCCTAGATGTTGAGCGTGAGCGTATACCACAATTGTAAAATCAGTTTTCGCTCCTTGCGTCAACGGACCCGATTGTTGTCGGTACGAAATTTTCATAGCACGATACGAGCGCTGCTCTTGAAGCGACGTGCCGTTAAATAAAAACAAACGGAAAGGAAGCTAATGCGCATTCCGCCGCAGATCTGTGTGTCCAATCTTTGATCCTGTAGAAGTTGTGTGCACCTATCTACGCTTCCTAGAGGCAGAAAAATTGTCGTCAGATGCGCCGCCTCATCGCCATCTTTGTTTTCTTCCTTTCTTTCTAACGGAAAATATACACCATGACATGCTATTTGCAATTCCCAGATAAACAAGGCGTGCTCATCTCGAGCAGACGAAAGACACCAGAAAATCAGTTGCAGCCCAAGAATACCGTTCTTAAGGACAGTCGATCTTTGAGAAGCTCCAATTTAAAAGAGATGGCCCTCCACTGCCAAAGAGACGTTACCTGGCAGAAGAAAAAGTACTACATTATAAACTTGGCGACGCCTTTGGGAGTATTTGCCAGTCATCAATATGCCGCCGACCATCGAGTGGTTCAAAGAAATGCAGCTGCATTTCGAGTGTGCCACCAACGATTTAAGTAGGAGAAACTATGACGACACCCTCGGCATTTCGGCTTATAAGATTTACACAAACACCAGAGAAAGCTGACTACTGCTCCATCCTGTTTTTTCCTATCCAAATGTCTACCGCGACGAGTTAAAACTCTATAGCTGGAAGGACTTGGTCTGCAATCAAAACAACAAAAGGAGTCGTCTTAAAATCAAACAGTTTTGACACCATCGAGGAGGCTAAGAAAAGTCGATAGGCAACATGAAAAACATCTAATAACCGTCGCATCTGCCCTGATGCTTTAAAACGTGAGACCATTTGCTTTGGGAGACCAACAATCTTCCAAAAGACACCTGTCACGCCCCGACCCTCGAGCGCACTAACATCCCACCAAGGTCGTTATAAATGCGACGTCCCAGGATGCATCGCCGACCCAATCGAATTACTAATGATTAAACGCATGCGAAAGCGAATTAAAAACTCCCAATCATAACAACAGGGATAGTCAGGAAAACACACCTCAATTCAAACAACATCATCAGCAATACATCGGGTTAATATATTACAAGAACACCACGCGGACCTTCCCGATTACAACCGGAACAGTGCGGGTTAACCTAGCTCCTCTATCTACGAGGATAACCTCAAAAGTGTTCTCCCTCAAAAAGCCAGTTCCCAAGGAACGGTACGTGTACTCATATCGGATGACCTGAAAAGTGGTTAACAACAACGAATGAGATAAATCTCAGCGAGTTCACGACCTAAGCCTCGACTAGGAGGTCAACTCATCTCGGATGTACCTAACACATGCAACGATACATCGATGGCAGACAACTCAATATAGAACATACAGGTACTTCACAACACAATCACAGGCAACCTTACCTTGCCCTGGGCACATGCACACGCCCTGTACATTATGATTCACCGTATGCCATAATAATGCAATAAGCATATAATACAATCAGAATACGCATCAATTTTCTCAAGTACAATGCATTCACACGTGTCCCGATTATAAAGTGAAACCGCTTCGGCCCGTCCCATACCGTGCCTAGCAATTTCATCTCATAATCAAGCGCAATGCCACCATAATCTTTCACGCGTATTCCAATTACTACAGCCACACCAGGGGCTACGGCACAACCCGTGATATTCGCCTCAGGTTGGCAGTCTTCCGGTATATCCGGGCATCGTCCCGCCCCATCGGGCACGGCATCGTCTCACCCAACCACAATGACGGCATATCCCATAAATGGGTTCATTCCGAATCCGATTCGCGAATGACTACGTCTCCCCTGCTACCAGCGACGGCTTCCAATTACCAAATTGGGGACACCCGTTAGGGCCACGGCCAAACCCTAGGTTGGCGGTCATCCGGTATACGGTTTTCCGATATAACCGGGCACGAAAGGAACCTTTAGGTGATCATGCACACATAGCAATACTCAGGTTCCATCATTATAATTTTCAATAGCCGATGCAAGCATAATCTGTGCTAATACGTTGAAATATCCAACTTCTCCACATAAAAATGTACTAAAATATTCACACGTGATTATGCACATATCAATAAATTCCCAAACTTGGCATGCTTCTATATTCAAGTACCCACAACATATTTCTCACATAAAACTTAACAAATAAACCCGACACCTCAGGGTTTATTAATTAAATACCCGTAATTCTATATTTCACCATAACCAAACAATTCAATTTGGCATACAAACCAATATATAACGCAAATTCTAGCTTAGGCATCACAATTTAAGCCTAAAATAAACACAATTTAATTTCGGAATTTCCACAAAAATATTAATAAAATAATAATATTTTTAATTCCGAAAATTAATAAAATATTATTATTTAATTTCCGAAAATTAATAAAATAATAATATAATTAATCCAATAGATTATCACTAATCCCTAATCAATTAGTACTAAGCACAATTAACTTAAACTAATCCGCTCTAATGAAGTTTAACCTACTAAGCAAGGGATTAGTGCGAAAACTCACCCGTTTAAAATTCCGGAGACACCGGTGCGTCGGCGGCGGCGAGGGCTACGCTTTGCACGGTCCGGAATTGACACGGAAAGACGATGACGACTGAGTCTCGGCTGGACAGCAGCTTTGGGGCGGCTGTTTTTGGCTCGGCGGCCTTGAACCGGCGGCGAAAAAAGGGTTGAACGGGTGGTGCACGGCACCAGGAGAACACGGCGAGCTGCTGGTGGTTCAGTGGTGGTGTAAAGCAGCAAGAACAGCAGCCCAAAGGCTGTTCTGCTGGTTTGGCCGAGAAAGGAAGAAAAGGGGGAAGAAGAATGAAAATTGAGAGGAAAATGGAGAGATAGAAAAGAGAGAGGAAGGGGTGGTCGTGAAATGAGAGAGAGAGTGGGGAAAGAGAGACAAAAGAGAGATATTTCTCTCATTTAAGACAAGCCTTCAAAGTCCTCTTTCATCATTCAAAAATGCACAAAAGTCTTCTCTCTCTTAAATGCCTTTGTTTCTTTGTCATAAAAGCTAGAAGGGTATTTTGGTAATTTCACAAAGTATAAAAATACTTATATGCGTATACGAGCTAGAATTTCGTACGGGCTCGTATAATCAAATTTGGGCTCAAACGGATTATGAATGGGCTTGAAAATGCTAATGGGCTCAAACTTGGGCTTGAATTGAAATTGGGCTTGAAATTGGGTTCAATGGGCTAAATTGGGCCACTTGGGTTTGCCTTGGGCCCATGTGGCCGAATCACATTGGGCTTGAGGCCCAATGTGCCTTCGTCTGGCCCACTTCCTCGTGGGCTCAAATTCTCGGCCCGCTAAATCCTTTTCCGAGAATGTCGAGCAAACCGATAAACGAGCAAATCAATGAGGCGGTGTCCAATAATTTAGTTTTGAAATCCTCGGAGATTCGACATCCAAATTCGGATTCTAATTCTTGGTAAAAATCAATCAATTGCGACTTTAGTATATCTCAAACTAACGGGCGGCTTTTAGGAGTTACGCGAATTCGACCCGTGGTTGATTCGGTATCAAACCACGTTTAAGTTTTCTCGAACCATGGATGATCTCGATTGTCATGTAATTGCGAGGGGTCAATCACTAGTTCCAAAGTACGCGATCATCAGTCAATGGGTTTAGAATCGTTCGCAATACATACAACGGTCAAGCGGAATCACCCGCGATCCGATTATATACTATTGGCGAATCGTTTTATAACCATCCCTTGATCGGTCTATAATGGCTCAAAATTGTCCCTCGTCAATCCTTATGGTCGAATTATCAATCCCTGATCGAGTTCTCAGGTCGTGCGTATTTAATTCCTTAACAGCCTTTCCCAATCGGTTAGTCTCTCATGAGTGATCAATTCAGAGCGAGAATTACTAATAGTACATCGATTAAAATCATCATTTCATTACATTCCGAATAGGGTCGAATTTGAGGATGTCACAACACCCGCCCACAAAAGAAGATGAGGCCATTCAATTAAGTTGCTCCCTTAAGTAGTCCGGAACTTCCGTCCAGTGTCCAATAAAAGCTCTTGAGAGATGAGGCCACTTTGTGTTCGACAATTGCAGGAAGTACGAAGCATATTTATCCACTTCCGTTTCTCAAAGTGTTGTTGTCGCTGTCACGCTACCAAAACTTTCATGTTGATATTCCTAGATTCTGATATACGCTAAGGGAAACTGCAGCTATGGCTGTTTTCAT